GAATCCCAAAATCCCAACAAACTCGGATCCCAAATCCCACCAAAAATCCCAAAAATCAGGAGAGCCCGAATCCCAAAATCCCACCAAAAATCCCAAAAATCAGGAGAGCCCGAATCCCCAAATCCCACCAAAAATCCCGAAAATCAGGATATTCCGAATCCCAAAATCCCATCAATTGTGAGATCCCATATCCCACCAAAAATCCCAAAAATCAGGAGAGCCTGAATCCCAAAATCCCACCAAACTCGGATCCCAAATCCCACCAAAAATACCAAAAATCGGGAGAGCCTGAATCCCAAAATCCCACCAAAAATCCCAAAAATAGGGAGAGTCCAAATCCCAAAATCCCAACAAACTTGGATCCCAAATCCCACCAAAAATCCTGAAAATCGGGATATCCCGAATCCCAAAATCCCACCAAACTCAGATCCCAAATCCCACCAAAAATCCCAAAAATTGGGAGATCCCAAATTCCAAAATCCCACCAAAAATCCCACAAATCGGGATATTCCAAATCCCAAAATCCCACCAAACTCAGATCCCAAATCCCACCAAAAATCCCGAAAATCAGGATATTCCGAATCCCAAAATCCCACCAAAAATCCCGAAAATTGGGAGGTCCCGAATCCCAAAATAGGGAGGTCCTGAATCCCAAAATCCCATTAAACTTGGATCCCAAATCCCACCATAAATCCCGAGAATCGGGAGATCCCAAATCCCAAAATCCCACCAAAAATCCCAAAAATTGGGAGATCCCAATTCCCAAACCCCACCAAACTTGGAACCCAAATCCCAAAATCCCAAATCCCACCAAAAATCCCACAAATGGGGAGATCCCAAATCCCAAAATCCCATTAAACCTGAGTCACAAATCCCACCAAAAATCCTGAAAATCGGGAAATTCCAAATCCCAAAATCCCACCAAAAATCCCAAAAATTGGGAGATTCCAAATCCCAAAATCCCACCAAACATGGATCCCAAATTCCACCAAAAATCCCACAAATTGAGCGATCCTGAGTCCCAAAATCCCACCAAAAATCCCAAAAATTGGGAGATTCCAAATCCCAAAATCCCACCAAACTTGGATCCCAAATCCCACCAAAAATCCCACAAATTGAGCGATCCTGAGTCCCAAAATCCCATCAAAAATCCCAAAAATTGGGAGATCCCAAATTCCAAGTCCCACCAAATCCGGGACCTCCATCCCAAATCCGGGACCTCCATCCCAAATCCGGGGTGTCCATCCCAAATCCGGGATCTCATCCCAAATCCCGGATCCCATTCCAGATCCCGGCTCCCATCCCGAATCCCAAATCCCAGATCCCATCCCGAATCCCGAATCCCGGCTCCCATCCTGAATCCCGGCTCCCATCCCGAATCCCAAATCCCGGCTCCCATCCCAAATCCCGGCTCCCATCCCGAATCCCGGCTCCCATCCCGAATCTTGGATCCCGTCCCGAATCCCGAATCCCGGCTCCCATCCTGGATACCGGATCCCGGCTCCCATCCCGGCTCCCATCCTGGATCCGGAATCCCGGATCCCATCCTGGATCCCGTATCCCAGATCCCATCCCGAATCTCGGCTCCCATCCCGAATCCCGAATCCCGGATCCCGCTCCCATCCCAAATCCCGGATCCCGGCTCCCATCCCGAATCCTGAATCCCAGCTCCCATCCCGAATCCCGGATCCCATCCCGGATCCTGAATCCTGAATCCCGGATCTCGGATCCCGGCTCCCATCCCGAATCCCGGCTCCCATCCCGAATCTGGGGTGTCCATCCCAAATCCCGAATCCCGGCTCCCATCCCGAATCCTGGATCCCATCCCAAATCCCGGATCCCATCCCAAATCCCAAATCCCGGCTCCCATCCCGAATCCCGGCTCCCATCCCGAATCCCGGATCCCATCCCAAATCCCGGATCCCATCCCAAATCCCGAATCCCGGCTCCCATCCCAAATCCCGGCTCCCATCCCAAATCCCGGATCCCATCCCAAATCCCAAATCCCGGCTCCCATCCCGAATCCCGGATCCCATCCCAAATCCCAAATCCCGGCTCCCATCCCGAATCCCGGATCCCATCCCAAATCCCAAATCCCGGCTCCCATCCCGAATCCTGGATCCCATCCCGGATCCCGAATCCCGGATACCGCTCCCATCCCGGCTCCCATCCTGGATCCCGGCTCCCATCCCGAATCCCAGATCCCGGCTCCCATACCGAATGCCGAATCCCGGATCCCATCCCGGATCCCGGATCCCGAATCCCGGCTCCCATCCCAAATCCCGCTCCCATCCCGAATCCCGGATCCCATCCCGACTCCCGGCTCCCGAATCCCAAATCCCGAATCCCAAATCCCGAATCCCGGATCCCGGATCCCGAATCCCGAATCCCGGATCCCGACTCCCGAATCCCGTCTCTCCGCAGGTGCCGGACCCGGCTCTCGGCGCTCCGGGGCTCTTCTGTCCCCAGCTGGGCCCGGGGGAGCTGCTCAAGGCCGAGCCCGAGGGCGCCCAGGTCAGTTCTGGTCCTCCAACATTCCCAACATTCCAAACATTCCCAACATTCCCAGCATTCCCAACATTCCCAAACATTCCAAACATTCCCAGCATTCCCAGCATTCCCAACATTCCCAGCATTCCCAACATCTCCAACATTCCCAACATTCCCAACATTCCCAACATTCCCAACATTCCCAACATCCCCAACATTCCCAACATCTCCAACATTCCCAACATCTCCAACATTCCCAACATTCCCAGCATTCCCAGCATTCCCAACATTCCCAGCATTCCCAGCATTCCCAACATCTCCAACATTCCCAACATTCCCAACATTCCCAACATTCCCAACATTCCCAACATTCCAAACATTCCCAGCATTCCCA